ATTTGGGGATTTTGGGGTTTTTGGGTCCCCCACATTTGGGGTTTTTGGGGTCTCTCCCTGGATTTTGGAGATTTTGGTGTCCCCCAGATTTGGGGTTTTGGGGCGCTGACCTTGTACCCGATCTGCAGGTGGCTGGATTTGGGATTTTTGGGTCCCCCAGATTTGGGTTTTTTGGGTTTTTGGGGTGCTCACCTTGTATCTGATCTGCAGGTGCAGGTCGCAGGGTTTGGGGATTTTGGGTTTTTGGGGTTTTTGGGGTTTTTGGGGTTTTTGGTGCTCACCTTGTACCCGATCTGCAGGTGGCTGGGTTTGGGATTTTAGGGTCCCCCATATTTGGGGTTTTCGGGTGCTCACCTTGTATCCGATCTGCAGGTGCAGGTGACTGGGTTTGGGGATTCTGGGGATTTTGGTTTTTTGGGATTTTGGGGTTTTTGGGTGCTGACCTTGTATCCAATCTGCAGGTGGCTGGGTTTGGGATTTTAGGGTCCCCCATATTTGGGGTTTTTGGGGTTTTTGGTGCTCACCTTGTAGCCGATCTGCAGGTGCAGGTCGCTGGGTTTGGGGATTCTGAGGTTTAGGGATTTTGGGGTATTTGGGGTTTTTGGGTGCTCACCTTGTACCCAATCTGCAGGTAGAGGTGGCTGGGTTTGGGATTTTTGGGATTTTGGGTTTTTGGTGCTCACCTTGTAGCCGATCTGCAGGTGCAGGTCGCTGGGCTTTTATGATTTTTGGGGTTTTTGGTGCTCACCTTATACCCAATCTGCAGGTGGCTGGGTTTGGGATTTTAGGGTCCCCCATATTTTGGTTTTTTGGGGTTTTTAGATGCTCACCTTGTACCCGATCTGCAGGTGCAGGTCACTGGGTTTTTGGGATTTTTGGGGATTTTGGGGTTTTTGGGTGCTGACCTTGTACCCGATCTGCAGGTGCAGGTGGCTGGGTTTGGGGTTTTTGGGATTTTTGGGGTTTTGGGGTGCTCACCTTGTACCCAATCTGCAGGTGCAGGTGGCTGGGTTTGGGGTTTTTGGGTTTTTGGTGCTCACCTTGTAGCCAATCTGCAGGTGCAGGTCACTGGGTTTTTGGGATTTTGGTCTTTTGGGATTTTTGGGTTTTTGGGTGCTCACCTTGTAGCCGATCTGCAGGTGGAGGTCGCTGGGTTTGGGGATTCTGGGTTTTTGGGGTTTTTGGGTTTTTGGGGTGCTCACCTTGTACCCGATCTGCAGGTGCAGGTCGCTGGGCTTGGGGATTTTGGGGATTTTGGGGTTTTTGGGGTTTTTGGTGCTCACCTTGTACCCAATCTGCAGGTGGAGGTCGCTGGGCTTGGGGTTTTTGGGTTTTTGGGGTATTTGGGGATTTTGGGTGCTCACCTTGTAGCCGATCTGCAGGTGCAGGTCACTGGGTTTGGGGTTTTTGGGGTGCCCCAGATTTGGGTTTTTGTGTTTCTGGGGTGCTGACCTTGTACCCGATCTGCAGGTGCAGGTCGCTGGGCTTGGGGATTTTGGGGATTTTGGGATTTTGGGATTTTGGGGTGCTCACCTTGTATCCGATCTGCAGGTGCAGGTCACTGGGTTTTTGGAGTTTTTGGGTTTGGTTTTTTGGGGTTTTTGGGTTTTTGGTGCTCACCTTGTACCCGATCTGCAGGTGCAGATCACTGGGTTTGGGGTTTTTGGGGTTTTTGGGGTGCTCACCTTGTACCCGATCTGCAGGTGCAGGTCGCTGGGTTTGGGATTTTAGGGTCCCCCATATTTTGGGGATTTTGGGGTGCTCACCTTGTACCCGATCTGCAGGTGGCTGGGTTTGGGATTTTAGGGTCCCCCATATTTGGGATTTTTGGGATTTTGGGGGTTTTGGGTGCTCACCTTGTACCCAATCTGCAGGTGGAGGTCGCTGGGCTTGGGGTGGAAGCGCAGGTCGATCCGGTCCCCGTTGTCCCGGATGATGTACTTGGCCCCCGGGTACTGACTGTTCCCCCTGCGCACCAGCTCCTGCAGCCTGGGGGGTGTGGGGTCAGTTTAGGGGGTTTGGGGTCCATTTAGGGGGTTTTGGGGTCCATTTAGGGGATTTTGGGGCTCTGGGAGTCACCCCACAACCCTCAGGGTCAGCTGCAGAAGGGGTTTGGGGTGCTTTGGAGTTATTGGGATTTTGCTCAAAATCCCCCAAATCCTCCACCCCATATCCCTGTGTCCACCTCAAACCCCACAATGACACCAAAACCATCTCAAAACCCCTTGAATGGTCCTAAATCATCCCAAAACTGCCCCGGTTTTGTCCGAAAATCCCTCAAATCGCCCCAAAATCCCTTTAATTTATCCCATAAATCTCCCTGAATGCCCTCAGAATCCTCCAGCCACACCAGACACCACCTAAATTCACCCCAAATCCCCAAAAATCCACCCCAAAGTCCCCCAGATCCTCCCCAGACTCCTCCAGGCACTGTTGAAGGTGACAATGCCACCAAAGGTGACAGTGATGGTGATGGAGCAGGGGACACCCATGCCAAAACCCCATAAATCCATCCCAAACCCCATAAATCCATCCCAAACTTCCATAAATCCAACTCAAAACCCCATAAATCCATCCCAAACTTCCATAAATCCACCCCAAACCTCCATAAATCCATCCCAAAGCCCCTACAAATCCCATGAATCCATCCCAAACCCCACCTGCCGATGCTGAAGGGGGTGATGATACCACCAAAGGTCACGTTGGTGGCAATGAAGTGAGGAACACCAACACCAAACCCTCACAAACCTCCATAAATCCACCCCAAATCTCCATAACTCCATCCCAAACCCCCTACAAACCCCATAACTCCATCCCAAATCCCCTACAAACCCCATAAATCCATCCCAAACCCCATAAATCCATCCCAAATCCCCTACAAACCCCATAACTCCATCCCAAACCCCCCACAGATGCCCACCTGTCGATGTTGAAGGGCGTGACGATCTCAGCACAGGTCATGTTGGTGGCAATTAAGTGAGGAACACCAACACCAAACCTCCATAACTCCACCCCAAACCTCCATAAATCCATCCCAAACCTCCATAACTCCACCCCAAACCCCACAAACACCCCACAAATGCCCCAGAGATGCCCACCTGTCAATGCTGAAGGGCATGACGATCTCAGCGAAGGTCACGTTGGCCATCCCAAACCTCCATAACTCCATCCCAAACCCACCCCAAACCTCCATAACTCCATCCCAAATCCATCCCAAACCCCAGAAACCCCCCAGAGATGCCCACCTGTCGATGCTGAAGGGCGTGACGATCTCGGCGAAGGTCATGTTGGCCACCCCAAACCTCCATAACTCCACCCCAAACCTCCATAACTCCATCCCAAACCTCCATAACTCCATCCCAAACCCACCCCAAACCTCCATAACTCCATCCCAAACCTCCATAACTCCATCCCAAATCCCCATAACTCCATCCCAAACCTCCATAACTCCATCCCAAACCCCCATAACTCCATCCCAAACCTCCATAACTCCATCCCAAACCCCCATAACTCCACCCCAAACCCCCCATAGATGCCCACCAGTCGATGTTGAAGGGCGTGACGATCTCGGCGAAGGTCATGTTGGTGGCAATTAAGCGAGGAACACCAACACCAAACCTCCATAACTCCACCCCAAACCTCCATAACTCCACCCCAAACCCCACGAATGCCCACCTGTCGATGTTGAAGGGCGTGACGATCTCGGCGAAGGTCATGTTGGCATCAATGGAGCAGAAGACTCCCACCCCAAACCCCCATAACTCCACCCCAAACCTCCATAACTCCATCCCAAACCCCCATAAATCCATCCCAAATCCATCCCAAACCCCAGAAACCCCCCA